ATTATTTGTTTCATTATGTAATGTTTGTGTTGTTTTTATTTGTATTAAATTTATTTGATGATTTATTATTATATTTATGAAATAGATGTTGAAGATGATAATAAATGAATTATTTGTTATTATTTGTAAATATCTTATAATTTAATTTATTTCATTTATCATTTATTCATTTATTTATGAAATTAAAAAGATAAATAAGTTAAAATCTTTCTAATATTGTATTTATTATATATTATATTCATATTTGATAAATTGAAAATACAACTAAAATTGAAATATAATAAAATTAAAATGAAAATAATATAAAATGATGATTGTTGAATGAAAATAAAATGAAAATGAAAAGGGATATTAAATTAATTAAATGGTTTGTTTGTATCTTTTGTTTAATTCTTTATATTCTTCTTCTAATTTCCTTACTTCAAATACTCTCTTGATAATTTCTCCTATTTCTATCTCTTCTTCATATAAATATTTTTCTCTTGCTGAACTAATGATTTATAAATTTTTCTTCTTGTCTTTTTCTTTTATCCTTTCACAAATTTCTTCCCCTCCTTTCTTCATTTCTTTGATTTGTTCTTTGATGATTTTTTTGACCATTTTTATCATTTTCTCAATCTTTTCTTCTTCAGTTTGTAATCCTTCTTTTCTTTTGTATTTCATTTCTGCTTTTTGTTTCTTTTTATTCTTTTTTTTTTTCTTTTAATCTTCTTCCTTTATTTTCCATCATTTGACTTATTCCCCTCTTCACCCTTTACTTCAACCCTGGTACTTTCTTTTCCTTCTTTTCTCATTCCCTTTTGCTTTTTGACTATGGCTTGTATCTTCTATGATTAGTCCTTAACATATCAATTCTTTATCCTATGTCTTTCTTCTATCATTACTTTTCCTTCTTTTTCTCTTTTCTTCTCTTTTTTTTTTCTCTTAACATTGATTAAGAAAATGAACCAAGAAGTGGAATGAAAAACAAAATTTCAATGAATTTTAATCAAACTTGGCTTTCATAAATCTTGCTAAATTTGCATTATATTCAGGAGCGAAACGATACATTAGACCATGCTTTCTCAGTAAACGTCTTTGAAGTCCTGGAGCCAATGGCCTTAAAGTTCTTACGACTTCACGTAAAATGATATCTTTTTGTTTAGGTAATTCTTTGTATGCGGTCATTAAGTTATTGGTAACGTCGCGAATTTTTTGACGAGCTTCAGGATCCAGAACAAGTTGTAAATCTGATTTTTCTTCTTCATAACGAACCATTAACTGCCTTCCTTTTGCTTCAAGAGCATCAAATTGTTTATTAAAGTTAATAATTTTTTGTTCTATTTGTTGATACAATTCTTTACAGACTTTTCCTCTACATTCTGCTTGAGAAGATACTGAGATTATTAAGAAAGATAATACAAAGATTGAATAAATTTTCATTTATCAATAAATTATGACTTTTAAGTTCATTTTTTCTTTTAGAAGTTTTTCTTTTAAAATTTTGAGAAATAGTAGAGTGTAAAACAAACAATCATAAATGAAGTATACTAAATAAGTTAATGAATTGATTGAGGGTTATTATCTGATAAATGTAATAATTCTTTTGGACATTTTCCAAATGGGACTTGATAGTCACATGGCTCGAGGTAACTCCCATCCATTAATTTATTATTTATCTAATAATGAGAACTATGGTATATAAGTAGTAATGAACAACAAACTGTGAAGACATCATTATAATTGTCTATTAAAAATTTGATAGTAACAATGGCATAGTTTTTATTATTCATTAACTCTTCAATGCTTAAAGAAAATAAGACAGGAGCAAATACAGTAGCCAAATTATTAGAGTCCATTAAATTAAATTGTGAATATTGCGCAATTAAATGAAGATGAAAAATAATATGTTTTAAAGTAATATAATTTAAAAGTGGTAAAAATGATAAAGCGTCTTTAATATTTTTAGTGACTAAATCTTTTAATGAATTATCCATTTCAAACATTGAAATTGTAACATTAAACAAGTCTTTCTATGTTATTAATTTATGTCATTATTATTATTGTTATTATTTAAATCAAACATTTTCATTATCCACTAATGCACCCGGAATTTCTTTTAAATAATTTTTAAGAAGACTAGCAACAGTGGAAATTTGAACGTTAGTAAAATTTACACTTTCTCCATTTTCATATCGTTTTTTAATTGCAATAATATCTGTCATATTTCCAGGAACTCTAAAGATTCCTTCTGTTAAGATATATTCCCATTTACTTGATAACTTCTCAAGCATGTCATAAATTGGATACGGTAATTTATTAATAGTAGGAACTTCTTTTAATCTTCTCCCAATTACTTTTTCATTCTGTTTCATTAATATTTTTAAAAGGAAGTTTTTCAAGTTTTCTTATATTTTTTTTCTTTAAATAATTATCTAAAAATAAAGAATCTCGAAATTACTTTCTACTTCAATTAAACACCAGTGCTCATCTCGGTTTGAGCATACATTTCTTTTTTTTTATTTTTTTATTTCTTACTATCACCTCAAATACTTACAAAGCTTCTCTTCCTCTAAATTTTTAAAGGGACAATGTTAAAGTATGAAATGAGAAAAGATTACAGTAAATCTCGTTTTTATCATTTTATAAAAATAAAACCCTAAATTATAATTTATAATAAAAAAACAATAAAAAAATAATAAAGAAAAAATGACCAATGAAAAAAGAATAAACCCTTCTTTTGAAATAAAAAACCCTGAAAAATTAAATAGATTAAATTCATGTCTGACTTTGTAATTAAACCAAGTGACGAAAAATCAACTCCAGACTATTCATCATGGCCATTACTTCTTCAAAATTTTGATCAACTTGAAATTAAAACAGGACATTATACACCTGCTTCAGCTGGTAATTCACCAATTAATAGACCAATTTCTGAACATTTTAAATATGGTATTATTAACTTAGATAAACCAGCCAACCCATCTTCTCATGAAGTTGTTGCATGGTTGAAAAGAATTTTGAAAGTAGAAAAAACTGGACATTCAGGTACTCTTGATCCAGCTGTTACTGGTTGTCTTATTGTTTGTATTGATCGTGCCACAAGACTTGTTAAATCACAACAAGATGCAGGTAAAGAATATGTCTGTATTTGTAAGTTCCATGAAGCTATTTCAGATGAACAACAAGTTAAAACTGTTATCAACACTTTAACTGGAGCTCTTTTCCAACTTCCACCAGTCATTGCTGCAGTTAAAAGAAGTCTTAGAATTAGAACAATTTATAACACTGAATTACTTGAAGTTGATAAAAAAGAAGGATTTGCATTGTTCAGAACTCAATGTCAAGCTGGAACTTATATGAGAACACTTTGTGTCCATCTTGGATATCTTATGGGATGTGGTGCTCATATGGAAGAATTAAGAAGAGTCAGATCAGGTAATTTAACTGAGAAAGATAATATGGTTACTTTACATGATGTTCTTGATGCTATGTACTTATATGAAAATCATGGTGATGAAAGTTATATTAGACATTGTGTTAGACCACTTGAGACTTTATTAACTAAATACAAAAAAATTGTTGTTAAAGACTCTAGTGTAAATGCTATTTGTTACGGTGCTAAATTGATGGTTCCAGGTTTACTTAGATATTCTAAAGGAATTACCATGAATGAAGTTGTTGTACTTATGACTTCTAAAGGGGAGGCTATTGCTCTTGGTATTGCCAAGATGACATCAGAAGAAATGATTACTTGTGAATATGGTGTTGTTGCTACTATTAAGAGAGTTATTATGGATAAAGATTTGTATCCACGCAAATGGGGACTTGGACCACATGCTCAACAAAAGAAGAAGCTTGTCGCTGAAGGTAAGTTAGAGAAATATGGTAAGCCAAATGACAAAACTCCAGCTGATTATTTGAAAGAAGTTCCTTATATCAAATCAGAAAAGGAAGGAAAGAAAAATGCTCCAACTAACGAAGTACCAAAAAATAAAAAAGAAGTTAAAAAACCAGAGAACAAAGAAGAACAAAAAGGAGTTAAAGAGGAAAAGAAAGTTGTAGAAGAAAAGAAAAAGGAGATTAAAGGAGAAGCTAAGAAAGAAATAAAAGAAGAAACTAAGAAAGAAGAAAATAATAAAGAAAGTTCTTCAAGTTCATCTTCAGAATCTTCTTCAGATTCATCAAGTTCAGAATCATCAGATTCAGAGTCATCATCAAATTCTAGTTCCTCATCATCAGAGTCAGACTAAGCATTGAATTGATTGAAAAAGTGATAACTAACATTTTTGGTTTAATTTTTTTAATTAAGTTAAATAAAAAGTAATGAGATTTGATATAAATATTATTAATCTAATCTAAAAGTCTTAATAAAAGGATAAAACAAAAATATTTTTTTTTCTTTTTTCTCTTAAATAAGAAGAAAATGTTAAAGATTAAAACCCTAAAGATCTGGGAAGAGTAAGTTATTTTGGAGAAAGAATTGTCCATGAAAATTACTTTTATATTGTTTTTATTTGTTGGTGCTTATTCAGTAGAAAGTATTTGTGAAACATGTCAAAACGAATTAAAAACATGCCTTAACGATCAAATTCCAGCTGTTGATTTTATAATTGGGAAAAAACATGCTAAGACTTGTCAGTGTTGTGCCAAATATGATGAGTGTATTGGATTAAATGAATGTGAGTATTCACCATCAATTTGTTATAAAACTGGATGTAAAAACTTACAGTTAATAGGATGGATAATGATATGTGTTATTATTGGGATATTACTTATTGTAATTGCTGGTATTTATTTATTTTATCGGTACCGACATGAAAAGAAGATTGAAAAAAAAGATGATGAAAAGATAATTACAAAAAAACCTCTAATAGAGACCGAAATGAAAACAAATTTATCTACTACAAATAAACACAAAGATGTAGAAATTAATTATCAAAAATTACATGAAGTTATTGAGTCATCATTTTCTTCTTCTGATTCATCTTCAAGTGATGAAGATACTTCAAAACCATTAACACAAGTTCAAATAACAAAATAATTAAATAATAAAGTTATTTAAAAATATTGATGTAAACTCGATTTGTATTAAAGAGTAATTTATACCATGTAAAGATATATTTCTTGGTTGTACTTTTTATAATTGAAAATTTTTCATCAAGTTAATATTTAGGTTTCTTTTCAAAAATAAAAGAATAACACAAAATGAATGTTTTAATTAATCAAAAACACCGAATTGGGTTAAAATAGTAATGGTCAATCCGATACCACCTAGAATAAACCCAATAATCATAATTCCAAGTGAAACCCATTTGAGTAATCCAGTAGCCACACGGAATGCAAAGAATGCAGGGAAAACATAAACAACAAGTGCACCAAAGATCGAACCATTATAAGCAAGTACTGTTGAAATTTGTTCGATTCCAGTTGCAAGGAACATGCAAAGAGAAATTAGTACTAAACTTAAAGTAATTCTACGAGTATTTGATTCTTGCCAACCTGAAAAAACTAATTTATCAAATAAATCACGTTGAGCATGGTGAACTAATGGGAATGAAGTGCTCATTACAATACAAAATGAACAACAAGCAATGAACATAGGAATATCACTTGTTGGATAATCAACAAGAATATTACCTGTAATGTTAGGAGTTAAAGAGAAATATCCAAATAAACCAATTAATAAATAAACAGCAAAAGAGCAAAGAGTTGATGAAACGACAATAATATTCATTTTTGTCATTGACCTATTCTTTAATTCAGAATAGAAACGAAGTACATTATAATGAGCAGTAAAAGCACAAGTCATATAAGGAAATCCTCTTAAAAATTCTACACTAAGATTAAAAACTTGAGGAGGATGAGTATCAATATTATCACTGTATGTTGTAAAGAATTCAATACAAGAAGTGAGTGTAGTATAAATAATACAAGCTAATGAAAGTAAAGAAACATATTTCAAAGCACTTAAATTTTTAAATAATGAAATTGGAATAATAATACAAAAACATACAATCATAATATCAAAATGTCTATCAACTAATACAGTATTTCCTGCAAATGTAGAAAAAACATGTGGCATAAACCCACCTAAGAAAATTGGATAAGCAATACACGTTCCAGTTGTATAACAGAAAATACTAATTTGAACAATATAACTAATTATTTTACCACCTACTTTTAATGAAATATCTTTGTATGTCCATAATTTTGTTTTAATACTAACATATGTTAACAAATACATAGCAAAAGCTGAAAGAATCCATGCCAATACTAATAATGTTATTCCTCCAATATATCCACTATATTGAAAAGCTAATGGAATAGCTAATGTTCCACTTCCAATTACTGTATTTGCTAAATTAAAAATAGTACCAGGAATTCCAGCAGTTCCAATTGGTTCATTTTGTTTATCACCTTCCTCATCATATTCTTTTCATTACTAAGTAATTACTTGATA